TTGGATGCCTCCAGTGCCTGGGATCAGCGGAGGCATCGGCAAGAGGAGAGAGAGAGCAGCAAGGTGAGATCCAAAGGCCAGGGACTCTCCTTCAGGATCAGGTAGTGGGCTGGGGAACAGCCAAGGCAGCAGCTGGGTTATCCACTCCAGCAAACATAACCTGTATTTGGGGACTCCCTGACTCCAGTGGCCCCTTTTCTTCAGCTGGTGGGGACGGGCTAGGTGTGGTATTTGGAGTCCCTGCAGCATACACACCCCCACCAACCCATAGCCTCAGCAAGGTGACACACAGCCCAGCCCCTGCCCAGGTGAGAAAGTTGTTCCTCACTGTCATCCCACTCCCACTTTGGCATTGCTGACCAGGGATGGGTCATATAGGCCTCATGCGCATGGAGGCTGAGCTGGCACCACCAGCCCCAGAGGAGTTTTTGCCCACCCTCTGTACCCTTGCAGGTCCTGCCTGGTAAAATGGAGTTTCAGATGATGGAGGGGACGCTGGAAAGGAAGCACGTATTGCAGACAGGAGGGAGAAAGGTACAGACATGGCTGTGGGGCTCCTTTGGGACAGGGGTGCTGGAACATGTCAGGGGATGGAGGGAAGCCAGGGATGTTCCTGGAACTACCACAGCAATGCTGCTGGCCATTCTGGAAGGGCAGAGCCTCAGAGGGGCTGGGCCGCCTTTTGAGCAGCGTGAGACCATCTGTCTTCTTCCAAAGCTGTTGGCATCACAGCTGTCCCCTGCTTGTGTCCCACAGGCCAGCTGCCGGGCCTGGGGCCTCTTTCACGCTGTGCTGATGAGGCAGACACTGTGCTTCTACCAGGACCGCAGGGACAGCCTCAAGGTGCGGTGGGGGAGATTGGGATGACGTGGGAGGGGGCTGGCGGCAGGGTGATGGCTCTGGGCTCCATGGCCCAGGAAGGCAGAGCCATCCAATCCCCACTGTTGCCCTTGCTTTCCCTTGTGCTGCAGAGCTCTGTGGTAGCCCTTCCTCTGAACCTCTCGGGGGCAGTCTGCATCCCAGATGCCGAGTACACCAAGAAGACCAACTGCTTCAGGCTTCAGTGAGTCCCCAGTCCAGGGCCGTAACCACAGCCCTCCCAAGTGTGTCCCTGCTGGGGCAGACACATACCAACATCCCCAGCCAGGACCAGCTCAGTGCTTAGATGAGGATTTCTTTCCTTCTTTCTCACCTGCTTCTCTTCTTTTCTGGTCTGGTGGGGGCTGTCGTGTCTACACCCTACAATGTTCTTCCCCTCTCCCTGCAGGCTGCAGGATGGCTCTGAATACCTCCTGAGGGCCCCCACCCAGGCCCTCATGAATGAATGGGTCTCAAAACTGCAGCAAAACTCAGGTGAGCAGCCCTTGCAGGCAGAGCAGGGGCCCAGCTCTGTGTGGTTACCATGTTTGTTCAGTCCCTGCTGAGCCCTTTGATACATAGGGGGTCAGAAGAGAAGCAGCACAACATTTTACTCTGATTTATGCATCCTCCTAGCCTGCCTTGGGAACAGCAGTTCTCTGCCAGGCAGGATTTGGAGGCTTTGTTTTCACACCACATACACAGCTATAAATCAGGAATAGCACAACTGACGTCACTGGTGCTTCAGCAGCAAAAAGCCCGTGTCAGGAAAATTATAATTGTGCCTTGGTCTTCCTCCATATCCGCTGGGCTTGAAAATGCCTTGCTTGCCCTTGAGGCAAGGAGAACTTTAATACTGAGGTCTTCCTATTGCTGTCCCCATACCTGAGAAATTCAAGCCCTGCTGTGAAATCCTAGGTTGGTTGTCAAGACCAAGAGCAGGTAGTACAGCAGGAGGTTGGAGGAGCCAGCCATGCAGCATGGCCAGTCAGATCAGGGACTGGCTCTGTGTGACAATCCTGTGCACTGCCAGCATCCAGAAGATGTTTGCTATGCCCCCAGGTTTCCCCGAAGTGGATTACTTCCAGGCGGCAGCACGGCGTGTCGAGGGCACTGGTGGTACTGGCAGGTGAGTAGCCAGGAGCTGGCCAGCTGGGTCTTGTTATAACTCTATCCCACATTTCCCAGAGCATGCTGCTCCAGCAGGGCATTGGTGGGCCAGTCTGGCTTGCTAAATCTCTGCTGGTTTCAGTTTCAGCAGGGTCTCCAGCCCTGGGACCTCCCACCTCCAGGGACATCATCAGGTCACCAGCACCAAGAGCCAGGAGATTGTGGTGTTACCCTGCACAAGCCCACTACTGCAGCGGCCTCTGGGCAGCCAGGATGGCCCAGTTGATGGGACTGTGACAGCAGCAGGTGATTTTCCTGTCTGGCTGGTTACCACTGTCCCCCAGCTTCTCTCCCCAGCCCAGAGAGGTACCTGGGAGGCAGCTGAAGGAGGCTGAAGGCTGTTGGTCAGTCTTGAACTTGGCGATATCTGGGCTAGGAGTCCCAGAGCTTGGGACTTGGGGAAAGGAACATTTACTTCACTTCCTGGGATACTGAGATAGTCATACATTTCCCTCTTGTCCTTTGGCCTGACACAGGGGTGTCCTGTGATGGCCTTGCCTTGTGACATGTCTCCATTCTGCTTCAGAGAATGCTCAGGGGGCTGGGCACAAGGAGCAGCAGTGGTCATCCAGGGCATCCCCCGGGCTGTGGGACAACATCTGCCCAGAAGATGACTATGGGCTGGTGGCCAACAAGAGGAGGTCCTACTCCTTCACCTCAGGTACAGTCCTGATTTCTTTGCCAGGAGGTGGCACCACTGCCTCTGTCCCCTCAGACCGCCAAGGACAGATGCGATGCTGCTCCAGCACGCACCTGGTCCTACATACCTGTGCCCTTGGCTGCAGCCCCCATTTGGAGAGGGCTCTAGAGGGCTGCCAGGACCTGCTGGCACACTGCCCCTTCCACTGACTGCTCCTTCTTGCAGCCACCTACCAGAAGATCACGCCGCTGGCCGTGCCCAGGGAGTCGGTGGAGGCCGGGAGCAGTTACTCTGTCACACTGTACATAGGGGAGCAGGTGTCGGCCGTGCCCCGGGCACGCTGCCACTCCTTTGTGGCCCAAACAGGGAGCCCACGGGACACACGAGGGGAGAAGACCACCAGTCCCCCTCGCACCAAGAACAAATCTGTCTTCAAGAAGTTCTTTGGGAAAAAAGAGTGAGCCCCAGACAAAGGGAGAAAATGCCCTTACCTGCCTCTTATCCTCCTCTTAGGCCACTCTGGCATGGTCTCTACTCCCAGCACCACTTCATGGCTCACTGCCTCCCCAGGGGCAAGAGGCTGTGCCAAGTGGCTCTGCTTCAGCCAGCCCCGGGGCTGCCCTGTGCCCCAGCCACTGCAGCCCCCAGCCTCAGCCTGGCGCTGAGCACCCCTCCTGCCCAGTGCTCTCCCTGGGTGCTGCTGGCTGCCCAGGCATCCTAATGACACGCAGCACAAGCACAGGGGGGTGGATGATGGTTTTTATTAAAAGATAAATAGACACTGTGGGAGCTTTTTTGTCCAGCAGCATCCATCGGCACAGGAGGAAAAGAGCTTTCTGCAAGGTGGTCCTTGCTAAGGAGTCAGGGGAGCTTCAGATGAGGAGGGCTCTGCAGTGAGGTTCAGTCCTGCTTGGGAGGGAAGCCTGAGCTGTTTGGCGCCTTTCACAAGGATGCTTTGTCCCGTGCTTCCTCTCTGCCTGCACTCAGCCCAGCTAATCCGGCAGGCAATCTGGGCCCCTTTTCCCTGCCCTGGGAACTTAGCAGGGAAGTCACTACCTACAGAGTAAATACTCCTGCCTGCACAGCCCTGCCAAGCCTGCCCAGCCTTGCTCTCTCACAGGATGGCTGCCAGCCTAGGTCACAGCAGGTGAATGCTGCATGACACAGATGGGGACAGTAGTGTGTGGATAGAACCCCATTCCTACAGCCCAGATATTTTTGCAGTAACTTCGCCAGACCATGCCAGTTTCAACTGCCCCAATTGCCGCTTGTACTGAGAAGGGGAAAAAAAAGCTGGTCCAACTTGCCCTGAGCCTGTGCCAGCCATAGAGGGAGAAGGGGAACAGCCCTAGGGGGAGAAGGGGAAGTTTCCAGGGACGTAGGTAGCAGGGCCTCTCCCTGTCAGGCTGTGAGGCTCAGCTGTGCACACCACTTGCCTCCTCAAACACATTGTGGGGCTTAAAATAGAAGTACTGGCTGCAGCCCAGCTCTGCAGTAAGGGCTAGGAGAGCAGAAACACTCCTGCCACCCCATCTCCCTCCTGCAGTGTTTCTGGGACTGGAGACAGGCAGTGAGGTGGAGGTGAGCACACCAGGGTCACCAGCAGATGGACTTTCTCCAAGTTCCCAGCAAGGGGTGGGGAATGCCCTGATGTGGGCAGGGGTGTGCTTTCTGAGCTTCCCCTGTGTCTTTACCACCCCCCACTTGGCTCCATCACTCTTGGCTCTGACACCTGTTTTCCTCCAGCACCAAAGCTCAGCTGCCTGCACTTCCTTAATGGGAAAAGACAAGCAGGATGGTAAGGCTGGGAGGGGAGATGCCCTGGGCAGGGGCCAGGCTTGTCCAGACCAGTGAGGAGGTCAAGGCACAGCATTCTGGCTCTGGCTGCACATACCAGGAGAGCAGCTGGTGGGCTGGTGCCAGTTCATTCCTGAGCAGCTGCGGGGCCCAGCAGAGGGGCAGTGGGTGCAGGTTGCTTTACTTAGGACCCCCCTGCTGGCCCCAGGGGTCGATGCTGACCCATGGTGGGGCAGGAGCTCACCAAGTGTCCCACCATGGCCCAAGTCCAGCACGGAGTGACATGTGCCACTCAAGAGATAACACCATCCTGGGGACGATGCTGGCACCTGCAGCACCATTTTCAGTACCCCTGTTGTACAGGCTTCATTGTGCCCCCGAGGCAGCTGCCCACCCACAACCTCCCCTCTCTCCTCCCCTGTGCTGGCACTTGGCCCCACGGCAACCCGCTGACGAATCCCGCCTGTAGTTCCTATGGCAGAAGCCAATTCCTCCCCCCCACTAATCTGCCCGTGCATGCAGCCTCCACCTGCTGAGCCAGCGGAAGCCGTGCTCAGCCAGCCCCAGCCAGCGCCAGGGCTCTAAAACCCACTCCGGCTGCAGAGCCTGTAAGGTGGTGAAGCCTTTGCACCCTGGTCCTGCTGCCGTGGGAAATCCCAACCCTGCTTGGCACCAGGCATTGAGGAGTCTGCAGGCAGCATCATCTGGCACCAGGGGAGCTGAGCTATCAAGGTAAGGGCAGGGTGCAGGCAGGGAGGTGACCAGAGGAAGCACTGTCCCTGCTGTGCCTTGTTCTGGGAAGGCACCAAGGAGAGGGTCCGGTTCCAGCCTCCTCCACTGAGCCAAGGTCTTGTCCCCCATTTCGGCAGCTCGGCAGTCCTGCTCAAGGTCACCCCGCAGCCGGGAGCCTGCGCTGAGCTCTGGGGCCGTCACACACTGAGGGACCCCAAGCAGGGTCCGGAGCTTTCGAGTGCCAGAGCGGCAAGGAAGGTTCGGAGCCTGACCCCGGCGCAGGGGGAAGTGAAAGCGGGGAGCAGCAGTGGAGGGGCTGCCTGCCGCACCCTGCTCTCCTTGCCTAGGCAAAAGCACGCCTGTGCCCCCTCCCGGGGCAGTAGGGCCAGCCGTCTGTTCCAGGAAGAGGGGAGACACTGGCGAAAAGCCAGAGCACTGGACATTCCTGTGCCGGAGCTGCGGTAGCGGGGCGACCCCAGCAGCCTCCCTCCCGCTCTCAGGTGCGGCCGATGCACCTGGGGGGGTCGCCGGGTCAAAGCGGGGTGCGAGGGGTGGGGGCACCGGGCTGCAGTCCGGCGGCCGCGGAGCCGAGGGCAGTGCCAGCCCGCCCGCGCGGTGCCCTTGGCGCGGCGGGAAGCGCTAGGATCTGGCGTGCCGCGGCCGGCAGCGCTGGCACCGGGCGCTGCGGGACGGGACCGTGCCCTGCAGGCGGCGGCGCCGCGGGAAGGAGCCGGCAACCCCGGGGAAACGTGTAAGCGACGCGGCGGTGCCCCTGCTGCCTCGGGTGGGGTGGGTGCTGGGGCGGAGAGAAGTCCCCGGCAGCAGCAGCGGCGGCGGCGGCAGCGCTGGGGGAAGCCCCGGCAGCCGTCCCGCGGCCGTGCGGAGCGGCCGGGGCTGCGGGGGCGGCCGCTGTCCGACCGGGGCTCCGAACCGGCGCGCTCGGCCCCGCTCCTGCCTGGGCTGGGTGCTGCTGCCTTCCCTTCCCCTCCCTCTACAGGACCGCCGCGCGGCCGGGGAGCCTGTCCCGGGAACGCAGTACCACGGGGCAAGGAACGCTGCCCCTTTCGCCGTCCCCCGAAACAGCCAGCTGGGGACGGTGTTTGGTTACCCTGCCCGTGGGGATGTCACCCGACTTACCGGCCCCGTCAGTCACCTTCCTTTGTCAGTCCCAGCTTACTCTGAGCGCTGGCTCCCTCCCTGCCCCGCCAGTCACATATTCCTGTAAGGCCTCGGGGGTGCCTCACCACATGGAACACCTCCAGGGAGCCCTCCCCGGTCTTGGGGTTCCTGGGGCTGTGCCACCGCTCACCTCCCTGCCAGAACAACTTCTACAACCCCATTCGCCTCTTGCAGGCCCTTTGTCCCAGTAGCTGGGCACTCTCCCATGACCCTTTCTATTTGTAGGCTGACCGCTGGGAGCTTGCCCTCCCCCCTTGCACCATTCCCCATGCAGGTCCTTTCTCCCCAGGCACCATTCCCTGGCTGCCCTCGGTGTGATCTGGCCCAGTGCAGAGGTCCTGGCTGCATTCTGAGTCCAAGGCATGGCCCAAGACTTGTTTGCAGGAGCCTGACCTCGTGTGAAGGCAGAAGAGAGGTGAAGGTACAGACAGAGCAGGGTTTGTAGCATGGCCTTTGACCCAAAGCAGTCCAAACCAGTGGTGCCTCACAAGGTCAGGGCACTGCTCTGCTGCACCACTAAAGGTCTTAGTGCAAGAGGTTAGTAAACAGGGTCCCCGCTGTCGCTTTTTGTCCTTATCCCTTCAGTGCCCTGGTGCTGTCCTGGGAAGGGAGCAAGCAGGTGCTGTAGGGGCTAAAATGGATCAGAAAATGTGGGGAGTGAGGGAAGCTGGCACAGCTGGGTGGTAGGAGATAGTGAACTTTATCTGTCGTGGTCCTCAGGCTTGTGCAGGGAAGGTGATGGAGGATGTGGTAGAGGAGCACCAGCTGTGCTGCCCTGTTTTCTGCACAGACATATAAGAAGTCCTGGCATTCCCTGCCAGGAATGCCCAGAGCATCCCTGAAGGCAAGCTGGATGTCACTGGGACCAGCAGGATGGGAGAGACTGGGCAACAGTGGAAGAGAAGCCTCTCCTTCACCAGAGCAGGAAGCCCTGCCCTGAGCTACTGTCAGCAACAAGACCCTCCAGAGCTCTCCAGAAAGCTAGGGGTTGTGGAGCTCTTTTCCTTCTTGAGAAGCCTGCTTTTTTGCAGGGAACCCAGCACCTCCACAACTGCAGATGCAAAGCATGGCCAGCAGCAGCACTGCTGGGCACTGCATAGCAGCTCAGCTCTGCTGTGAGGCTTCCCAACTTTAACATCCCAGGACAGAGCACTAGCAAAAGTCAGGTGAGACTTTCCCACCTGCTTGCATGCTCTGGAGATTGCAGATCCTCTGTGGAGAGTGGAGAAAGACAGAGGGTTGGTGATGTCTGCAGCTCCTCCCCAGAAGAGGGGTCTTTGTGAGAAGCCAGCCACCACTCTTGTCTGGGCTGACTTTTGTCATTTGACTTGCCAGAAAAGAGATTTACTGGGTCTGGGCAGCAGTGTTAGAAGAGCAGGCTGTTTCCCCGGAGACTGAGTCCCTATCAGATGAGTATGGATGTAGAGAATAAAGCCTGAGGCCCTGAGTCCCTGGGAGGGTAGTGCCAGGAGCCCCTCTTGTCCCTGAGGCACTGGGTCCCTGGCACAAGGGACCCTGGATGTCTCACAGCTCAGGACCAAGGAGAGAAGCAGGCAAGCTGTGTTTTGAGAAGTAACCTATGCTGAGGAGGTGCACTTCAAGCCTTTTCCCATGCCATCCCTGTGGAACTTGGGGTTCTCAGGGGACCAGCCAGAACTTCTTCCTCTGTGGCCTGCAGCTGAGCAGCAAGCACAGCCCTGCAGGACAGCTACCGTGTTCAGGGTGACTGTCACAGTCCTATGTCCTCATGTGATCCATCCTGACCCTGAAATCTGCTTCCTAACACTTTCCCTGCTTTTTTGCACTGTGTGTTACCTATAGGCAAACTCTGCTTCTTTAAACCACCTTCAAACAAAAGCTCCTGCTTCTGCCCTCGGACTTCCCTGCTTACTCCCAGGTTTCCCAGCTCCACTCATCTCCAGTTCCATCATGGGTTAGCCCAGCGCACACAACAAGCCCACATTCGGGGTGCCCTGTCCCGTTTTGCGCACTTGGCTCCCAGTGCCGTTTATTCCCCCATCTCCCTGCTGCCGCTCACTGCCTCCTCATCCTCATGGCGGATGAGGATGCTCACCCCAGTGCCCAGGGCCGTGCCTGCCCTGCCCCAGGGATGCCTTGGGATGCCTCCCCACCGTGGAATGCCAGACCCTCTCCCATCAGCCACCAGCTCGCCACTGCTGCGCTCCCCCCACGCTGCTTCCCCAGCCTGGCTCCCGCATTCCGCGGAGCCGCTTAAGCCCGCGCCCGGTTAATTCCTTCCCCGTGCGCTCCCCGCGCTCCCGGTCACGCCGGGGCGGGCCCGCGTCTGCCGCAGCGCCCCGCGCCCGCCGCCAGGGGGCAGCGCCGGCCAGCGCCGCCGCTGCGTGTGGGGGGCTCCGCGCCGAGCCGGGGCGTCCCCCGGGCCCCTCGGGACGGGGCAGCTCTGCACAGGTCTGCACATGTCTGCACAGCTCTGCACAGCGCTGCACAGCTCTGCACAGCGCTGCACAGCGCTGCACAGCGGGTGGGAAGGACCAAGGCCACTGCCTCCCCCCAGGGACCGGCAAACTCTGTCGCGCTCCCCCGGCAGCACGGCCGCGGTGCACTGTAGGCTCCCAGCCGCGTAGCCAGCCCCTCGTGTGAGGGGTGCAGGACGCCCCGAGGGCTCCCTGCTCCCTGGTCCGTGCTGGAGCATTCTCTGCCCACCGCTGGACACTCAGCTGTGCAGAGGGGCTGAGGAAGGGGGGAGAGCAGTCCCAGTGGTACCCTGGCAGCTGGGCTGCTGGTCATGGCCTTCTTTTGATGTCCCATGTTTGTGCTCCACTGGGTGGCCTGGGGGCCTCGTCTCAGCTTGGGAATCTGCGGAAGCATGACTGGCAAGGGGAAGAAATGATGAACGGCTGGTACTGTTGGAAGCTGTGGGAAAGGGCCCTCCTGGAGACCTCCCTGGGGGATGTTTAGGAGCATTCAGCCATAGTTCCGCTGCTGATTCGCCCAAAGGGGAAAGCATGACTGGATGGACTTAGTCTCCAGACAGGATTTAGTCAGCCTTGCCAGACATTTGCACAGAGCAGAATTCCTCCACACCAGCCAGCAAATGTTGGGCCAGGCACAGACCAGGGCTGGCACGGCTGTGAGAGCTCCCGGACCTGTGTTTGGAGCCCTCATCTCTGCAGGTGGCTGTGTGCCATGGTCCCCGTGGTGCCAGTGACCACAGAGACTGCCCAGGGAGCAGACTGCTGGGGAGAACAGGTAGGCACCTGGGCTCTGCTCTGCCATGCAGGGTGGGCAGACTCTGGCTGCAGCAGCATTCCCAGAGAGCTGGAGCATGGCTCTGTCTGCTGACACCAAGATGCCTCGGGAAGGCTGATGGGGAGCCATTGCTTCAGGCTATCCTCCAGAGCTGGCATTCACCCATCCTACAGAAAGCCACCTTGTGCCTTTTAGATGGTTCTCAGAGACCCTGGGAGTCACTGGGTACCTGGCTCCACTGGGCTGTGGATGGACTTTGTAAAAGGGGGAACGGGACCACAGGACAGCTGCCACCCCTCTTCCTCTCACCAGGTTCCCAGCAGCTCACAGCTCCCTGCAGTGTTTTACAAGTGTGGCTGAGTGCCAGCCAACTTCTTTCTTAATGGCTGTGCTCCATCGTGGGAGACTGGTGCTGCCAGTAAAGGAGGAGGATATGCCCCCGGCATTGCTTCAATGGGCCAGATGACCTTGGCTATAGAGTGGCTCCCTCTGCCAGCACCAGCTCCATCCTCAGCCAAGGAGACCTGGAGTGACACCATGACAGGGTGCTTGGAGTGGTCTGTGCCCTGAATGCCACAGGGTGTTCCTGCCTGCCGCTGAGCCAGGGGTTAACCCTGTTTCCTCTGGTACAAGCGGGAGCCTGAACTGTGTCTTGAGTTTATCCAAGTCTCAGCTTGGGCCCTGGCAGGTGGAGACTGCCTGCAGTGAGGTAACATTTCACCCTTGGCCCCTGGCGACACAGCTGTCACTCAGTAACTAGCACCCAGCAGCTCAGCTGCTAATTGGTACCATTAGCCAGTATTTACTCCCTTAATGCTTGTAGGAGAAAGCAAATGGGCAGCTGGAGCTCAGGAGAGGGCAGCAGCAGTGCAGTGAGGGAGGCAGAGGGATGGGGGTGTGGATGGAGGAGGGAGGGATTGCTCGTGAAAGGATTGTGCCCAGGAGATGGTGAGGGTGGGAGACCCTCAGAAGTGGCTTGGGCAGAGGGGATTGTGTCCCCCAGCCTGACAGCAGGGAGGTGTCCTGTGTCCCAAAGATGCTGCTGTTCCAATAGGGCAGGCTGAGAGGGGGCTGGAGCTTGACTGTACCCCACTGTCCCTGCCAGGTCCCAGGAGCCCTGTGGCACCACGGACCCCTTGCTGAGCTGTGACCAATCAGCGGACAATGGGATTTGTTTCTGCTTGCCCAGCTGGAAAACACCCATGGCCCTGCCACTGGGCTGGAGGCATGTGGAGGCCCTTCCTTGCCATGTCTCCAGACCATTTGCTCACCAGGGCTGTGAGTGCTTCTGAGGTAGTGGTGTCACCACATTGCATCTCAGTGCTACCAGCGAAGGGCAATGCTTAGCATGGGGAGGTGGCAGGGGCAGCAATTTCCCCTGCCTTTCCTTGCAGGGTTTCACCCAGGGCTGCTCTGCTGCTGGCAGCGAGGTCCTCCTGCCCTCAGCCCACTATTGAAGAAGTCACAGGCAGCTGCCTGACTTTATCCCTGCAGGTCTAGTTGTGCAAGGAAGCAGAGGGACGACAGGATGCTGGAGGTCTGCGTGGCTCCCTGCAAGCGGTGATGTGCCAGCTGGATCCCTGTGCCACAAGCAGAGTTCAGGAGGGTATTGCAGCCCACTCCTTCCCCACCTTGTCCCAGCAAGGCTCAGGCCAACAGGTAAGCATGACCTCTGTTCTACCACCTCATCCCAAAATACAGGGCAGGACACCAAAAGCCCAGAGATCACCATCAGGAGTCCTGCAAACAATGACTGGAGATCTCCCACCCCAAAAAGAGTCTGCCAGCAGCTCTTCAGCCAGGATCCTCCTCCAGGGTCAGCCAGGACCAGCAAGGGAATAGCAAAACTAAAACAATCAGTCCCCGAGCCATTCGCTGACCTCAGCAACAGGCTGAGATGCTTTGTTGGCTATCAAAGCATCCATGATCACTGCAGTCTTGTTATAACTGGATTCCCAGGAGCCTGCAGTAGGTTTTTTTGCCCCCCTTAGCTAATAGATTAATAACCTGCTGGCACTTGACAGAGGTTCAGCATCTTCTGTGTTTTCCTTCATGTGACTGATTAAAATGCCCCTTTTCCCCCTTTCCCTGTACAGCTGCCTTGTCACACATGCAGGCAATTGGATACAGCTGCTGATCTGTTTGCCATTCCACTCCTGCCTGCCTGCTCTGCCTTTCAGACATACTGGCTCTCTGTTTCTCTGCTCTGTGGCACCAAGGGCCAGCATAGAGGCTCTATGAGCTGACCTGCCCATGCCTTCCTCTGGAATGGGGCAGGCAGCACGCAATGGAGGGAAATGCAGTCAGCGTGGGTCATGCTCGCAAAGGGAAGGGTGCTTTTGCAATGGAAAGGAGAGCTGGATGGCATGCAGTCCCTGGCCTCAGCTCTACTGCAGGCTGATGGCTTGGCCGTGCCTCAGTTTACCCTGTCCCTAGCACAGGCACATTACAGGGAAAGGGAAATCTCATTGCAGAGGAGGGCTGGTGTGTTAATTAATCTATGGTTGCAAAGTGCTTGCAAATCTCCAAGGAAAACGGTAGACGTGGGTGCCAAGTGTAAAGGAGTCTGGAAACATTAAGTGCCTGCAAATACTGCCTAGCTCCTCAGGCCCTAAAACACTGATATTGTCCAAGAGGCTCTAAAAATATTCCTTTAGCTCCTATGATGCAATATCCACTGCCTGGAATAAATCTCCCTTTTTGCTCTTGCTTTCCAAACCAGCTGTTTGTTTGTTTTCCCCTTTTTGGATTTCACAGCTTTAGTTAAAGCAGGGAATTGCTACAAGGGAGGAGGGGGAAAAAAAAAAAGCAGCTTTTGTGAAAGGTTTGGCAGCAAGCGTCACTGAGGGGAGAGCACTTTGCCTGTTTGTTCTTCCTGTCACAAACTAGCTGTGAGCAGAGCATACAAATTGGGCTCCAGGTGATGGCATTGCAATGCCTGCAGTGCATGTTCGAGTTTTCAGAAAGAAAACTCAAAGGGCTGGGCAGCTTCAGCCCCACCAGCATGTTCTGGGAAGCATGTCCATGGGACTCCCAGCCTTATGTAAGGGAGAAGCTTTGCTGGCTGCCTTCCTCCCTTGCTTTCTCCCTTTGCTCTGGGGAGCGCAGCAATCTGCCAACAGCAGCAGTGTGTTCTGGCACTGAGATGCTGCTTTGGGGACGGAGAGGGTGGGAACATAGCAAGCCCCCGGGCCCCACTCAAGGCTGCCTTTTCTCCTTGTCCGAATTACACCAGGGAGAAACATCCAGCTCCGGGGGTCATACAGTGGTAGTCCCAGTACCAGTGCTGGGAAAAGCACAGCTGTTTCCAGTTTGGAGCAGAGACTGTTTTTGTAGCTGTTTGCTATTTCTAAGAGGTTTGTTATTGTACACACAGAGGTGAAGATGATAACATGAGAGTCACTAGGGAGCAGAGGGTTCTTCAAATGCAACACCTTTGCCAAGATGAAGCAAGGCCGTTTGGCCCTGCAGCACGAGCTCATGTTTGTGGGGCAATAAATGAGTTGTTATTGGCTGTGGAATTTGTTACCTTCCCATGCACCATAGAGGAGCCGTGTCACCCCTCTGAAACTGCATGCTGCCATTGACATTACACAACTCAAGGAGGTGCATCGCTCTTGGGAGCAGCCGAGCTCCCTGAGGGGCTAAAGTGCCTCTACGGAGAAGAGAATTTTGAGCAAAATGTCTCCTGTCTTGCAGCATCAGGGCTGGATTGTAAAGGACACTCACTCTCTCCCAGACTTAGCCTGCTTCACCCCATGGTGTCCTGCTCACTCCAGGTCTTCTGCCTGCACAAGAGAAGGCATCATTAGACCCTGTCCTGCCAGCTGGTGATGGGGGGGCACAGGTCTGTGCAGGGGAGCAGCCAGCAGCCGGTGCTGTGCTTAGGAGCTGGAAGCCGCATCTCTCCGTGCCTCCCCTCGGGTCTGTCTGCTGGCCTCCTGTCTGCCTGCGGTCACCAGGGGCCAGGACGCTGTTCAGCGCTAATGGATTTCATCCCCCATCTCCAGTGATAGGCGTCTCTATGGAGAGATGTTTGATTCCAGTGATTGGGGAGTGGCCGTGCAGACAGGACCAGAGCTGCAAATTAGAGAACATTTAATCCTGTACTTTGGTGATGGTAAGTGCTACGCACCCTGCTGCTGAAAGCCTGGGGTGAGGCAGCAGCTACACCCGCCCTGTCCTGAAGGAGAAACTTCCTGGAATATCCACTCAAAGGTAAATTTTGTGGTGTTTCTCCTCCCAATGGGGTCTGAGGTTATAATGGTTGAGGCTGAGAGCCTTGTCCTGGCTTCTGGAAGCACATGTGTCAGTTTGGCTGGGCAGCGCCAGTCTGGACCCTGGGCTCAAGTTCCTGGGGGAATCGGTTCTCACAGCTTTTAGTCTGTGCTAAAGTTGGAGCTTATATAGAAAAATAAAATTGTAGAGATGCTCAAATTTTAGCTCATGCTGCTGAACAGCAAGTGTGGATATCACAAGGAGAAACGTGGTGCCGAAGCTGCTGTGGCATCCATATTCCAGGGACTACTAAGGGGGCTTGTGGGGCTCCGTGAGTGACAAAATGGCACATCTCAAAGCTAGAGAGGAGATGACACAAGGTATCTCAAGCAGGCAACCTTGCTTTTCTGTTTTGTTTGGATTTTGCAGAGAAGAGAGGAAATAGAAGAGGAGAGAAAAGATGAGGAAAGGAGGGGAGAGGAGTGGTCTTGTCTGTGTTGCAGCTTAACCAGAAGACCTTCCAGATCAGAATGGCTTACAGAAAAGGGGCTGAGGAAAGGCAGGCCCAAGGCTTGTATCTGTCATTGCCTGGGAGATGCAGCCTGGGAGCTTTAATTTGAGATGAGAGCTTTTAAATTTAATTTGATCTGATATGGATCTTAAATTTAAGAAAAGAGCCTCCTGTTGTACTATCTGGCAGCACTGTCTGCCGCTCTGCTCATGTTGTTAGTGTACCCTACTATCTGCCCCCAGAAGCCCATAACCATGACAAATATCCATGGCCAGGGCAGGGGGAGAGGTCCAGCTGCAGAGGCTGCTACTGAGCAGACCAGTGAAGAGATCTTTTCCTCGGGGTGAGACTTGCAGTGTCATTGTGCAGACCAGAAAGCACCAGTAGCTGTCTCAGCCCTGTTACCACTGCCTTTTTCTTGGGCTTTGAGGACTTTTTGCTTATGTGGTAATGTTTTCTAGGTCTGTTTTAAAATACAAGCTTGGTGCTTGGATTCTGCAGGAAGATGTGTGTTAGAGATTATCTTGCTGAGAGAGCGTGAGAATGAAAATCTGCCAGAGCTTTTGGGGGTGTTTTAACTTCTGGTTTTAATTTCTAACCCAAACTGATCACCATCTGCAGAGAATTTTCTGAGGCTGTTTATTAATGGAACAAATGTTTTAATGGTCAAAGCTTCTTCAGGGACTTTCTGGTGCCACTGCCTGTGCCTGCACAGCACAGAGAATGGAGAGAGCCAGGAGGGCCCGGTTTTCCTTTAAACATCCAGCTACATATAAAAATATTTCTGTCACTGTTTAACCGCACGAATATAAGGTTAAATTCAGGTGCACTCCCCTCTGCTGGGGGACAAAGTACCTGAGGAATCCTCCACGTTTGCACTTCAGCTGAGCAACATGCTTTGATCACAGCAGAGTAGATATCAGTCCTGGAGAGATAGGAAGCTGGAGGCAGCAGCCGGAAAAAAACTAATCTTAGAGTTTGTGCCTGCCCTTTGGATACTGAATACACACGGTACTTATATCCTCCAGACGTAGAGGGATTGCTAAGGTGCACAGGGCTCTGCCCATTGCCTGCCATCCTGAGTAGCACCACCAGGAATACACAGTGCAAAAAGCTGTCTTCAATCCTCCCTGTGACTTATAGGATTGCAAATGGTTTGGGTTGAAAGAGGCCTTAAGGATCATTAAGTTCCAATCCCCCTGCCATGGGCAGAGATGACACCCACTAGATTGCTAACTCAAGAAAGTTATTTTTATTTATTCAAGAAAGATATATAATATATATATATATATATATATATATATATGGTTAATGTTACAGCTGGTAACATGGTTGGTTTTCCTTGGTGCTGAAAATAAGGTGCCTTTGCATATATATATATATATATATATATATATGTGTGTGTGTGTGTGTGTATAAACATGCATATGTATATTTGTGTGTACATATATATATATACACACACCCGTATATATGTAAACGTCTATATATCACACCCTTATGTGGTGACTGCCACCAGAGTGTTTTTGTCTGAATTAGAGTGCAGCATGGGGGACAAGTGAGGAACATAACGAACTAGGGGCCAGTTCCCACTCCATTTAGAGCCGTAATTTAATGCATGGCTCCCTTTAGAGCTGCAATATCTCCTAATGCATGGACATGCACGGAAGCCTGGCGCTGAGCGCGGCTGGGGAGTTAGAGGGTGCTTGCTTTGCTTTCCTTCTTCCCCCAAGGAGCCGGCGGGCCGGGCAGGTTTCCCGCCAGATGCGGGGCGTGGAGATGGGTGGGCGCGGAAATGGGGGGAGCCAGGGGCGGGCGGGCCCGGGGAAGCGGCAGCGGCGGAGCGCGGGGCGCGGAGAGCGCGGCGCAGGTGGGTTCAGCCCGGGCTGCTGCCCGCCGAGGAGCCGTGCCTCCTCTCACCCATCTTCTC